CAGTACTAATTATAGAATACTTAATTAAGGCTTTGTCACACACACAATAAACACAATTGATACAGTACTGTACTACTTGTTTCTCCCAGAATCATGTGATAAACAAGTACTGTATAGTTCATTTCCACACTTAAAATGTTACAAAAACTATTGCATGACGTGCTTTCCATTTCTAAAAACACCAATTTATACAAGATGCCAAAGTAATCCACAACAAGGGCACACAGTGGTTCAAACTCAGAAGAGGGAAGGTGAAACAAAGCTTTACATTTAATTAATTTACACAGAGTTGTGAATATGTAGGAGAGAGAAAGAGCCGAGAGGAAGCAGTTGGGTGAACAATGTTGGCAAATTCAAGGGATTGAGTTAGCCAGACGCCTGTTGAAAGAAACTACAGTATTTAAAAACAAGTACATTGTCTGGTATTTGTCAAGCTTTAGGATGGGCCATGTTGACCAGAATGCTCCCTTCCAGTATCCTGTATTCTATTCTGCTACACTGAGGTATTATTAACAGACTAAACTGTAGCAATCGCGATGATATTTATTTTCACTCATCAGCATGAATATACCTCATAAGCAAGAAAGGCACAGTTAATGTTTTTGGGTCACCTTACTTATGAAACTAAAAATCATGCTACAAATGTTTCCATAATGTATTCCCTATTTGTAAGAACAAATTCCAATGATTATTTCACTAATCCTGGAAAACCACAACTCATCTGTGCCTGCGCTTGATGAGTTATGGGCCTTTCATACTTGTGAAAGATGTGTTATAAATCATTGTCACTGGAAAAATATCCTTCTTTACTATACAAATAACAGTTACCAAATAACTCAAAAATGACATTCTTGCAACTAATTTACTTTGACCAATTGTACACATCTATAATATAAATTATATAACATTTCCATTGTACTATTTTGTTTAAGACGGGAGATTTGGGGAAATTCAAAGGGAAAAAAATGCATTGCTTCTAGGTAAGATTTGATAGGGAAACCAGAGGCTTAACCGTAGTACATCATTTTAAAATTATTTACCATTTGAAACCATAGTGGGAGTGCAGTTATCATTCAGTGAGGAGAGCCAGAATGGAGGGATAAGAGCAACAATATGGTGGAGGTAAAGGAAAGCGCTCCTGGTCTGGGATTGAATGTGGGGAAGGAAGGACAGGTGTGGGTCGAACCTGAAGCCTAGGTTGCGCACTGGTTCCGTGAGTCTGAGGATAAGCCGGGGAGGTTGAGGAGGTCAGAATGGCAGGATAGAAGATGTCGACGAAAGCCAATGAGTATGGCTTCCATCTTGTCAATATTGAATTGTAGGAAGTTTTCGCTCATCTAGGCCCTGAGGTCTGAGGTTTATAATTAAACTCAATTTTTATCACTAATAATAAAATAATAATAATAATCCTTGCATTTGATATAGCGCTTTTCATGTCGGGAGGACGTCCCAAAGTGCTTCACAGAACACATTGTAAAGTGAATTGACTGTATATTTGTGGGTGAACGCGGCAGCCAATTGCGCACAGCAATGTCCCACAAACAGTCGTAGTTTGAAAATGACCACATTATTATTGTTTTTGGTTTTGGAGGGATTATTATTAGACGTGTGGAGTAAGGAAACTTGCCCAAGGTTTCGCCCTGCCTGGAATTGAACTCAGGTCTCTCGCTTGCAAAGCTACACTGAGCTACAGGACTCCACACCTCAACTAATCAACATCAATAGTGGTATTTTCCTTTGAATGCCAGGAATAAAAAGGTATATTTAAGTGTATTGCTTAATACATATACTTTAGTATCTGCGTGTCAGCCTGGCTCAGTTGGTAGCACTCTCACCTCTCTGAATTAGAAAGTTTTGGGATTAAGCCCCATGTCATAAGAACATAGGAACTGGAGTAGGACATTCAGCCCCATTCAAACCTAACAATATGCACAGTTGGGTGCAAATTACCCCCAAAATATATCAAAATAGATTTTTGATATTTTGCATTTGGTGCTGTGAGAGAAAGGGTCACATAAATGTTATTGTGATTGCCTGAGAGTCCACATAAATACCATTGGGATTGTCACAATTTTGTATCTATCAAATACCCTGGTAGTCCACTTCAACCAGTAGCTTCCAATTCCAGCTGCATTTGGTATCACTCCTCTTGTACCTCAGCGAGTTGTTTTAATGTAAGATTATTATGGCTAAGACAATGTTTTAAGTTCACATAAGAAAATGGCCCATAAGAGCCTTTTTAAACAAATCAACAAAATCCACACTGCCATCTGGTGGAAGTAATGGAACAGCACTGAATAAGTAAGAAGCAATCTCTGTATCTTGTGTATTATTCAAATCATTGCAATATTTCAGTTTGCTTCTTACAGGTTTTATTGTAAAATCTATTCACTTAATGTATGTGTGAGCAAATAGCAGGAAATATAAGTTAAATTGAGGAAATTAGGTAGATTTGTGTTCACTGAAAGATGAAACAAAGAATTTTGCTTCTTGTGTAGAACCATAGAGGTCATAGAAATTTACAGGCCATGAAGGCCACTTGGCTGATCGTGTCTGTGCCAGATTCTTTAAGAGCAATTATTTTAGTCCCATTTGCCTGCTTTTTCCTATATCCCTGTAGTTGACTCCTTTTATGGTATTTATCCAATTCCCCTTTTAAAGCCAATAAGGATTCTGCCTCAACCACCATTCCCAGTAGAGCATTCCATATCCTAACTATTCTGTGTTACAGTACAATTCAACAGCATTTCACCCACAAACTACAGCCAATTCAGTTTACAATATATTCTGTGAAGAACTTCCAGATGTCTTTGAGAAGTGATAAGCCGCTGTTATTAAATCCAAGGATTAAATTAATAAAGAGGCCATTGAAACAAATCCTGTAAAAAGATTCAGTAGAGAACCAGATGCAATTCTGAAGAGACATGCGATGGGATGATATAGTGAGAAAATAGGATTGGTAGTCAAAAAGGGGCAGTGAAATGACCTTTGCCTTTTCTTAAATATTACTTTCTTCATGTATGCCAAACATGAATGTTAACATCACCTATAGTAAAGTAATTGTCCCAAAGAGAACGGTAATATTGTCACGAGTGTATCACAATGTTAGCACAATGACATAGGTACAATGGTCAAATTATGTCCTCTGTGTTGCAAATATTCTATGATGCTAACTTCAGGTATTGGTGAATATCAAATAAATTTGGACAAATCAGTCAAGACACTGACATTAGCCCATCTGAAAATGTCATTGAATTATGCAATGCAATTCTGGTTCCCGGTGCTGGAGCTTTTTTGCTTTTTTTTTTGTCAGCATTCTGTGTACTTTCCACCATTTTCAAAGTATTATGCGAAAATTTGCATGGTTCCTTGTACAATATGCTTTCAATTATGCAAACATAAGAGGATCACCAACAGAGACTGTCAGTACTCTGCAAGCAATACAATCATATTCTGTTGAAACTTTAACATTTAAACCATATTTACTCTGGTGATACACTTCATTATTATATAGCTACATTGTTATCTAATATATTTCCTTGGCTGAAGCACAATTGCAGTTTGAGCAGATACGTTTTCCTGTGCACTTTCGGAACAGTACTAGTTATTTCATGTAGTTTACACCAGTTAGAATACTGTTACAATGTTAAGACTATTTGATGTGATACTTTTCCTGAGAAAAAACATCATTATTTCAAATTATTGAAAAATACTGTCAGATCTGTCTTCAACAACTACTCAAGTGACTGGGCCAAAATGGCCTTCATATAAGGGCGGCCTCTGGCTAAGGGTTTGTTTGTGTGTTTTCTATCTGTGATTCAGGGTGGTTGTTAGCAGGAGGTGGTAGCTGAATGGAGCTGGATGCTTGAACAGGTTTGACTGTACGCCAAGCAGACTGATATAATCTGGATGGAGTTCTTAATTCAGCGCCTTGGTACGTTCTTGCTATATAGATGCAATTTGTTGTCATCACAGTCTGAAGATGTTATCTTGGCAGATGTGTGTTTTGATCATGAAATATTGTTAAGGAATGTTATTTTTGAAATAAATGAATAATTAACATTTAACAGTCTCATTATGTGTGTGTAATAGGTAGTTATTAGTTTTATTTCAAGTATATATGGTGGGAAATGAATAATTTTGCTTTGCTTTAAAAACACAAAATGTTGTTAGCTTGAAACTGGCAAAAAATGATTGCAATGCAATTGAGAACTTTCATTATTGTAGCAAAGTAATAGATGATTTGAACAGTTTGACACATTTTTTGAAAATATTAGATTTTGTAACCAAAGCAATCATTTTCAAAAGTTTATTACACATTAGACCCTTCTAATAAACCTTCAAATCTCTTTATAGTTGGTTTCAGATGTACAACTTTCTCAGTTTAATCATACTATTCAAGCAGTAACATTCACTTCCAAGAAAATTATAGACGTCATACAGGTTCAAGAGCATGAAGGTCAACCGATTTCAAAAGCAGTTAGACAGCAGTGTGTGGAGAAAATACTATTTTTCTGGATTGTAAACTTAGCAATTGTTTACTGCTAGATTTTCATATTACTCAAGCAATAAATAAATCGAATGCCATCTTTAATAGGTTCTTTGTCTTTTATGACACACTTTAGAAAATGAAATGGCTTGGTAACCACCCAAGACAATATAATGTTTTGCATCTACTGATGTTGAAAGTCAGTGTAAAACCGTTCCAAAATATGATAAACAGACATGCCGCAGTCAAATAATTAAACAAACCAGTTATTTTTACAGCATAATTGCAAACCACTATTGTTCCTATTTTTTCCAGATAAAAATGTCACCTACATTAAAGCAACAAATAACAAAACATGATTTTTGAATGGTAAAGCAAATTGATGGAATTACGTTGTCAACTTTTATGTGAAGTTGCATGTCAGTTTGTCATTGGTAATAACAACAGGAGGTAACTCTTAAAAGATTTTAGTGGATCGAAGAATAAACAAAAACAAAAAAAGTCAACATTTAAAAACATTAAAATCAAATTTTGTCTACTTATTCAAAAATGTATCAATTTCCCGTTTAAAGTAGCCAAAGAGTAAATGATAATATTTTCGTTTGGAGTCCATGAGATCCATTATAATGTTGATATGGTCAATTTCTGGCAGCAGATGAAGGGCCACGTCACCTGATGCAAATGTCAATGCATGAGAAAATTTCACCGTGGAATCCACAGGCACAATCTTATCTTTGGTGCCATGAAGCAAAGCAAAACGGGGCAACCTAGAAGCACAAATTCAACCATGTCATTCTCAAATAAACTAACAATTTGAATTAAGAAATGTGCACAGGATAATGTACTTTACGTGTGGGGTGAGTTTTGCAAATTGATTCAAACAAAATATGGGTATGACATGATAGCATCACAATGTTATTGATATAACTCACATACTCACTACTGTTCTTGTGCCCTACTTAAAGCATAAGCCCACCTAAACACATCAGTTTGTTTCCCTCCGAACAAGATGAACAAACTGCACTGTTCATATCCTCATCTTTAGACTTTAAAAAAAAATCTGTATCCATCTGTCATCTCACAGCTTTGGCACTGCTTTTTGGTGTGTTGTGTACCTTGTACTTGCATTGGTCAGCACCAAAAGCATCCTTTATTTTTTTTAAAAAATGAACTCGGTCACCATCTCAGCATTAAGTGATGTGTTGACCTCTACCGCCACATGTTTCAAAACACTTCAATAAATTAACAAGAGGTTTCACAGGAACATAGGAACAAAGGATTTAGTCATGACCAAGGCCTCTGTTGCCTTTCTTCTATATATGACATCAAATTACATAATATATTGAGTCAACGAAAATCCAGGTGCCGTCCCATTCTGATACCAACCTCACCCAAGTCCTATCGGCATATTTATCAACCTCTTTCTTTGCGAGTTCAAAGGCAAGGTAACTATCCTTGTTCCTTTATCGAGCGCTTAACCTTAATCTACCCTAGCTGTCCCACCTGATGTAGTTGCTCCAGAATGAGCCAGTTCTGAAGAACAAATGGGAGTCTGAGGTAGACAATAATAACCGAGAAGGCTCAATGTGCCAACCAGATTGTTTGGCAACTTTAATGCCAGGTCACCCAACATTTAATGTGGCAACACTGTAGCCTTGATTAGAGAATGAGCAATTGCTTGAATCTTGCAAAGGTCTTCACCTCATTTGTTTTTGAATTCCTCATATCCTCTATCCTCTGGCTAGATTCCTAGGGAATTGGGATGGAGCATCTGAAAAAGCAGCCTTTGGTAATAACCATGGTTGACAAATCATAAAGGGTCCACCGAACATTGGCTGATCTGTTTGCGTCAGTATGTGAATGGTGCACGAGCCAAGAACATGGAAAATTGTGTTGTATTGAGAAAAAGCCCAATATGATACTTCAAAAGTTGATTACCTGCGTAATCTCTCTCTTGGTAGAGAATTGACAACAAGTGTTGGTGAATAATGATCAAAGTGGTCAATTCCTTTCATAGCTCTCTGCATTGTGGATACATATTCTATTCCTCTCCATTGTTCATGTTTATAATGGTTCGCAATATGATAGACCCCACTTAGACCTAAACAGAAATCAAAATAATTTCAAGTTTTTGCATTGCCGAGAAGTAAACCAGACAAGCTTTAGAGCAAAATATAATACAGTTTACATTTATAAACAGTAAAACTCACAACAAAATTTCCACAACAATGTAACAGTCTATAATTATGGCTCATGATATGACTAATCCTTTAACATCCTGTGCTTGGTGTTCTTGATTCCCTGAGAAATAAAATTTATCAGTTCCCCACTTTCATAGAATCATACAGCACAGAAGGAGACCATTCAGCCCATCGTGTCCATTTGCAAATTAATCCCACTCCCCCACTCTCTCCCCATAGCCTTGCAAATTTGTCCTCCGCACTTTAATTCACTTTTTTTTAACAAGGAAATTTAAGTGATTATTACATATGGGGAAACCGTGTCAGCAAACCATTATTCTTAGGTCAGATACAAGTTGGATGCAAAGTATTAACTCCCTCTGCTCACTCCCAACAACATCTCCAATGTTAGAAAAGCACCCATTATTAGCGTAGAATGAATCTCTCCAGTATTAGTGAACCGTACACTTTAGACTATCGTTGCTTTTCCCACCTAGCTGGATTTTGTTGTTCCATTGCCCCTCAGAACAGGGCTTTAAAATTGCACTTGTCAATTCTGTAAGTAACTTTGCGGATTTCTCTATATTCATGTTAAATATACGTTTGTTTCAATAAAATATTGTTTACAAATGCTCAGCTTTGAACAACTGACTAAAGTCCATCCATAGCTCAGCTAGAGTAATTTTTTTTAAAAATTGCTAAAATTCAACTTAGGCAGATTTAATGAGAAAACAAAGTTTATTCCTGTTAAAGGGAGATATTGCCAATCAGATATAACCATACATAGTCCAGATCATGCACCACCAAGAAGAATAACATGCATGGTTTGTTGCGTGAAAGATTTGTTTATTAAAGCTTTGTTAATATTGGTTCTGAGTCAGATGTGTGGAAGATGCTAGGAAAATACTGTAAAAAGAATCTTGTTAACCATTCATTATTCAGATACACACATTAGATAGCAAATTAAAACCTGCTGTGAAGATACCTAACTGCTCAGGTTATTCCCATAAACATGGTATTCATTTGTGTTTAAGTCATTTTTTAAAAAATGCTTTATTTATAACAGCTGAGGCTAACCAGAAAAGAATAGAGCAAGTTTAGGTGCTTAAAAAGATCTGTACAGTAGAGGGCTTTAGAGGATTAGCTTTTACCAGATCTGCAGTGCACATGTTTAATGACAGCTACAGTATACACTCACTGCAGATTCATGGTAATAGTGGAAGAGTTTCTGTAAATAGTTCTAAAAAAATTTAAAATGTCAACTGATCATCCATTTTGTTTTAAAAAAAGACAAATATTACTCATGGTCTCAAATAACTTTACTTTCCCCTCTTAGCACAGCAATATTGTCTAGTCTTTTAGCACTGTTCATGGTCAATCACCTTTCTAAGAGTACTCATTGTTTTTTTATTTGTTGTGCTACCAGTAACAATACATTAATGCACATTTTCCTTCCAATTGTTGTAATTGTATTTTTATATTTCTATTTTTAAGTCTGCATATTTATTGATAATTATTCTTCTGGTACTCAATAAATTAAATTCAGCAATTTCCTGTAAATCTAGAATATGCCATTTAGGATATCAGTGTTTAATGTGTGAGTTTTTTTCTGGTGTGTATTTACAAATTGGATTTGCCATATCTGTTCACTGATACTAAATCTTAATTTCATGTAGAATTTATTTTGCAAAAGAGTGAAGTCAACAGCTCACTAGCAATACATTGATATAAGACTGTAATAAGGAAATATAAGCAAATTAGTTTCATTGTTGCTGGAGTGTGGGGAGTGGAGCAAGAAGTGAAGCATGTGGGTCTGATTGGAATATCAAACAAGAAGAAATATTTATTTTTTCTTGCTAACCTTTAGGAATATGGAATACTGTACTAATGCAGAAGTAATGCTCTGGAGATTAAATAGATAAAGTAAGGTATATTGTACATGATCAGTGCTTTCATATCTTAACTGCTATTGCTATGTTATTGAGGACCAGATTGCAGTTGGAGTTACATGATGGTTCGTGCTAGGATTCTGAAGTAGGAATATTGATTTGGAAGTAAGTCGCAAAAAAGGGTAAAATTGTTCACAATTGAAGCTCTATCCTAGCGCATTATTGTCAAGTATACTTGTAATGAACCACAGAATAAATCAGAGGCTCTTCCTGGTTAGTGTAGCTAGTTTAATTCACAAAATTGTCATTTTGCTCACAAAATATACAGTCAACTCACTTTACAGTATATTCTGTGAAGTGCTTTGAGATGTCTTGAAGACATGATAAGGCACTAAATCAAATGCATTGTTATTATTATTATTATTAACAATATTTCAGTGCCTTTAGACACCCTCCCAATGTGAAAGGCGCTATACAAATGTAATTTTGTTGTCGTTGACATGAAAATCACACTTTCACAGTTCCTTAGCAGAAGGAGGAATTTCATCTCCAATGCTTTTAAACTTCAACGTTTTAAACCTTGCTATGTGTTTATATATTGGTTCAGAAATTGAACTCTTGAAAGGTGCAAGAGCTGTTTTATAAGTAGCTGACATCCTTACAAAAATGAATGCAATATCTTTGAACAGGTTTATGCAACTATATTGGTTTCTTTTCCTATCACAGCACATTCATTTTTATGGCATCTTACCAATGAAACCTTTCACTGATGCAAGAAGGTCATTCTGTTTCATTTTATCAATCCCAAGTTCTTCATTCTCACCAGCTAGAAATAAGGTAGTAAGTGCGCACAGATGGGCTCCTGCTGAGTGACCAATAAATATAATTCTGTCCTGCAACCAAGTCAGAAAGAAAGAAATGCTACATTAGTCACAGGATTTAAATGATGTGGTATTACACTCCATTCTGCAAATGTGAATATGAAAAAGTAAAACCAAACTGTAATCAGATTTAGTTTGGATGTGTGTCATTAATTAATAATGGTGCAAAAAATCGTTTTAGCGCTCCATTATTTTCAGAATGTAGACTTGCATAGGATTAAATAACGATCCAGTTATGTTAAGGTTCCATTTGTTCACCTTTATAATTCACTGCCACTGGTAGTTTTGTATGATGTCAATCTGCAGGTTATCTGACTGTCACTGTGTGGGATGGTCTTTTTCATTGCTTTTGTATCAAGAAGGAGATTAATTGCTGCATTTGATTCCAAACACTGTACAGGTCTCTTCATGAACTCACGGGATGACGATTATTGCCTTTAGAGTGTTTCATGGCACTTACAAAAAGGTGTGTGTGGGTACATTTTCTTTCTCAGATCTATGAATATGTGTAGGATTATAGGCACAATCACATTGTTACTACAAATTCTTACCTTATCTTTTACCTTACTCTAGTTGACATTTACATTGTCCCAACACAACTTACACACGCCCTTTGAAAAGTGTGTTAGCTCACTGAAAAACTGCCCATTGAATGTACATCGTATAACCATTGTTTGTAATAATGTTGTGAATTTATTGATAGATAGACATTTTAGACTCCCAAATTTATATGGATTTTTAGCCTTTGTTTTGTAGTCAAATAGAAAATGTTCAACAACAACAATCTGCATTTATATAGCACCTTTCACGCGGGGTATAGTTTTGGAGTGTTTAAAAGTGGCAGAGCTAGAGGCCAAGCTAGGGAAAGAGGAAGGGAGGTGTCCATAGCCATGGTTGAAGAGTATGGTCTTCAGGTGTGGTCTGAAGATGGACGAGAAGTGGACAAGGGAGAGTGATTGAGATAGTGAGTTCTATAGTCTTGGGGAAAAGTGACTGAAATCATGGCTGTGGATGAGCAGAGGGGACGAGGGACGTGCAGGAGGCTGGAGCCAGCTGAGCAAAGGGGGCGGGTAGAGGAGTGGGATGTGAACAGGTTGGAGAGATAGAAAGGTGCCAGGACATGGAATGATTTGTACAATTTCCCATTGTTCATCCTCTGTGTGACATACCTAAGTATACCTAATTAACCATAGTTATTCAATATAACTAAACATACTTATGTTAAACATTATTTTAACATGCACCAGGCAACATGAAAGATGTGCTTGTATTTACGCGCACGTTTTGAATGCAGCAAAACACCACACAACTAGAAAAGAACGGCTGATGGTAATCGGAACAGACTGTGCATCTTCCCCACATCCCCAAATTAACATCGGATGGAACAGCAGGGATTTTAATAGAAATAAAATTCAGCTGTCTTGTTTACAGAATCTTGCACACCAGGTTAATATTATTTGAATAGAATAATTGGGATGGCTTTGGCTTTCTATGTGAGGAAATGCGACTTGCTACAACAGATTAATTTTATCAAAATGCTCCAGTGAGTTCTAATTAGATAAACAGAGTAGAGTGCTGCTATGACAACACTTCCTTACAATTAAATAATCCTGTGATTATACTACTTTAGTTTCTACCAGAAGGTTCCTTTGTTTTCTTGAATCCTGTATTTTAACCCATCATGAAGTAGATTGTAATTCCACGGTACAGCCTACACTGTTTCGCAGTGCAGATTGGTGCATTGTAACCCTCCCTTTCTCCCAGGAGCACAGCATTCTCGTGCCTCAGCTGCTCTGCTAAGAACACCATTAACGCAGCATTAGGGTAATTCTACCAATATTTTGGACTCAAACATCTACACATCATCACTTTGGAAGTGGCACAGCAGTGCAACAATTAATTGATTCTATTTTTGATTTTAAAGCCTCTTAACAGCACAGGCAGTATTGGATTAGATAAGGGAATAATAGCAACCTCAAAATGGCAGCTGAGAAGAAAATGTATGCTTATTCCATCAAACAATGCTGTTTCTTGTACAATGTAACTTAGCTCAGGACTCTGACTCAAAATGTTGGGTATGTTTGTGGGATGCTTAACTGTTATGTAAACCTGCACTTCCCCACCCCCCCAAAAAGCAAAAGAAAAACAAAATGGGATTATATAAAACTTCTAAAACCACAATCTTCCCCTTTAACCAATGAAGACTCATTATTATGCAGCAGATCGGGAAGCTAACGTTTCACAAGATTGCTCTGGAAGAGGAAAATGCCCAATCCATACATTTCTTGAGCAACTTTCATATTAGATATTTAAACCAACGGCTTAAAGGAATTTTGTTTAAAGATACACACCAAATTAACTTTAGATATTTTTCTCTGTCAATCTTGTCATTATCGTGTACAATTTAATTTAAGACTGCTGATAGTTGTGTTTAACAATCATGCCTTTATACCACTTTCCAATATATCCCGTGAAGTGCTTTGAGACATCTCGATGACATGATAAGGTGTTATATCAAATGCAAGGATTATTATTATGCTTCCTGGAGGAAATGTCACATAGGCACTTCTAAAACCATTAAAAAATATTTTAAGAGTCCCATTTCTTGCTACAGTGCTGGCGTAATACAATGTTTCAGTCATTCTTACCTTGATATATTTCATTATATTACTTGCCTTATCACAATTATATCTGTTCCCGTTTTCCTTGATCCAGGAGATACTGTCAGTGACATCTTGCACCATTTCTACCACAGAACCCTAGAACCAGAGCAACGGCAAAACATTACGAATACAAAGTGAAATGTTTATTATCCATTAAACTAATCGTATTGTCCGCAATGTATTTACAATGAATGAAAAACTAGAGACAGATCGATTTCTTTCCAGCTAGATAAAGTTTTACCATGAACTTAAAGTTATGAATGCTTCAAATTCTTTGTTTGAGATGTAACTGTACAATTTAAAATAGANTTTTTTTAAATTCTAAAATTCATTGGGAGCCTAAAGCACTCAAAAATAAGCAGCTAAAATGCTCAAAGGAGATTTTGCCCAGTATAAAATGTAATGCAAAGCAAGATAGAAATAAGAGTGAGTTATCTTCAACTGGATTTGGAGACATTTAAATATGGCAAAGATTGAGAAAAAATGGGGAAAGGAGCAAAATAACACAATAACAGTTTATTGAATAAGCCACAAGATCAAAAAAGTAAATAGGTGCATATAGGAAAAGAAACAAAAATGCTTCAAAAGGGAACAAAACTGCTCCATTATGGATAATCCTTGCATATATAGTGCCTTATAACGTCTTTAAGGAATCTCAAAGTTCTGCACAGAATATACTGTAAAGTGAATTGACTGTATATTTGTGACCGAAAAGCGGCAGCCAATTATGCACAGCAGTGACCCACAAATAGTCGTGGATTGAATGACCAAATTAACGCTCTTGCATAAGACAAAAATCTTTCCAGAAGGACTCATTATAAATCTTGTGTAAAGGTCAATCATTGATGCAGATTTCTATCACTTGCAAATTTCCATTACTTACAAACCAAGGGTTAAATTGCATGCATTATTATTATTATGGTTTTGTCAGTCACCTAACCAGTGTCAAAATATATTGTGTGATTTTGTGTGACCAAAACACTGGATTTCTGCTTGCTAGTACGTAACTAGTTTTGTATTGATAATATGTTACATATTGACACAAGCCAGAAACTTTACTTACCTTTGGATAAATAGAATAATCTGGGCAAATCACCACAGCATTCAATTCAGTGGCTACCTGTAATGCTAGCAGGCAATAAGTAGCCCTTTGTCCAGATCCCCAGGCACCTCCATAAATGAAAATGATAACTGGAAGATACGTTGAACTTTGGTCAAAACCTTGGTATTTTGGAATAAAGACATCCAATTTGTTACCATGACGCCCAAACGTTATGCCCTAGAGAGATATACAGCAATGCAATATCACTAAAACTTTATTAAGCCTTTAGGCATAGAAATAATTCATAGGCACAATGACTTAATTGTTCTAATAATGGCTGATAACACAATTCTTTTAATTTGTCATTTCTGTTTCCGATTGGTGTATAGGTAATTAAATTTGATACAGAGAAGATTAGTGTGCATCACTCAGAACAGTACATATTATAGAAAATTTTATTAATGTATTTTTAAAACATTTTATTTATAACGGTGATAACCAGTAAAAAGAAAAATTCTGTCCTTTTAAATCATTTAAATTGTCTTGGGAAATACTGTACTCATTTGAATTTCAGTTAAAAACTATAAGTTATATTTGACAGTTCTTTATGCTAATACTTTGTGCAATTTACAGTTTAACTGTTTTAATTAATCTCTAGTGCATATAAGGTGTACTTTTTTAATATAACACTAAATTTCTCCCCTCCTCCTATCCTGAAGGAATTTGACTCCCTTTCCTTCTCCAGTATCTCACCAAAATGGCCATTATTCATGTATAAACCTTGATGATGTATTATTCAACTGTGGGGACTGTCATAATTAAGACTATTCCTATCTTTACATCTGCATATTCTAGCAGGGTTCTCCACATTGAATCAGCGGTAGGTACCCTAGCCAACTGTCCCCCTCATTATTCCTCCCGAAACCAGGAGCTTTTAGGCCGAATGTCGAACTTCAAATGCGACCTTAACTGATTTCAGCTCACGCTGTGTCATGAACATAAGGTACTGGGGTCAGAAGTATGAAGAAGTGGATGTTTCAAGGATTCATGAAAAACTATTCTTTATAGCTGAGAAGTCTGGTTTATCACTTTGTGAATCAGAGACTCAAAATGTAAATAAACATCATATAAATAAATCAGTCAAAGTGTCTCAAGATCAAACTTTTAGGATAGAAGGAAGCAAAAATTGTCTGTGAAGTTCTGCTGCCATCTTTTGGGAAAGCAAGTTGATTCCCTAGTCATGGGAGGTTTACAGTTTACAGTTACGTAATATCTGAAACGACTTACAATAATTTTGTTTTCCTATTAATCTTTTTTTAAAGGAATATTCTAAGAGTTAAATGTATCTAGATTATACTATAATTAATTTCTGCTCATTCAATTACATTCTTTATTGAATTGTTCTATCACTAAATAAATGTATTTTCAAGTGGCCATTAAAGGTCCCATGGCTCTATTTGAAAAGAGAAGGGAGTTTCTCTTGGCCAACAACCCTTCAGAAAAAATGTCATTCAATTGATGCGTACAAAATAGCTGCTATGAATACATAGTTAACACACTTGGCAGCAAATGACATGTAAAATATTGGAGAAGTTTTCACCTTATAGGCGTGGAGTCCTGTAGCTCAGTAGTTAGAGCACTAGCTTTGCAAGCGAGAGACCTGAGTTCAATTCCAGGCAGGGCGAAACCTTGGGCAAGTTTCCCTACTCCACACGCCTAATAATAATCCCTCCAAAACCAAAAACAATAATAAATTGGTCATTTTCAATCTACGACTGTTTGTGGGACATTGCTGTGCGCAATTGGCTGCCGCGTTCGCCCACAAATATACAGTCAATTCACTTTACAGTGTGTTCTGTGAAGCGCTTTGGGACGTCCTCCCAACATGAAAAGCGCTATATCAAATGCAAGGATTATTATTTATTATTATATCAAATAATGATCTTTGTATTTGATATAGTGCTTTATCATGTCTTTGAGACGTCTTAAAGCGCTTCACAGAATTAACTATGAAGTGAATTGACTGTATATTTTGTGGGTGAAACGTGGCAGCTGATTGCACACAGCAGTGTCTCACAAACATTCATCGATTGAGTGACCAAATTATTATTACTTTTTTTATTGAAGGGATTATTACCCCCGGAAAAGTGATCTGCCAATTGATTAACAACTGGGTTCCGACTTACTGCTTGGTAAACAGAGGTGTTGCTTAAGGAAACTTGCCCAATGTTTTGCTCTGCCTGGGAATTGAACCCAGGTCCTCTCACTTGTGAAATGAGTACTCTAAATACTAAGCTACATGACTCCACAAATGCGAAGATTATCTATGTTGTCTTATTTTCAAAAACCTTACAAGAGATTTCAGTCTTCCAAAAGACACTGTAGCAGGAGACTATCCATTAACATGGATAGTCTCCTGCTTTATTAATATTAAGGATTCCGATTTAATAACCTGAAAAGGCACAATGCATAAAGAAGCAGTGCTACCTAAACTAGTTCTACTTCTTAGGAGACAAAATACTGCTTCAATGGAACTCCTCAAAACAAGGGAAGTTTTGAGAGATATTTCAAATTGAAACACTTTGTATAAGGATTTGAATCTGCAATTGGGGTGTACCCGGGGCTACCCTTCAGAAATATTAGCTATCCTACCTGGTTGAGATGGCAGTTTAATATGCAGATATCTCCACTGATATTATCTGATTACCTTTCAGAATATACAGCATAGAAGGATTCGTCCTCAAATCAGTATTTCCTTTTTGCCCAAGACTACTGGCTGATATTAGTAAATCCCCACCCACCCCACCAATCCTGATAAAAATGCAGGGCATTGATACAACAGTAAATTGAGATTCCTTCAAACTCAAGTCTTTTAAGAACCCATTACTGCAGACATTGTAACCACTGGGTAGTTAATAAGTAGTAGATATGAAAAGTATTTCATAGATATGTTATGTAAAGTACAAAAGCACAACGGTTTTGTACATACAGGACATTTTAAAAACTTTGCTTACCTTATTGGAGTCATTAAGTGACTTGTAGAGAGAATTACACTGGATGTACAGCTTTGTATATTGTATGTATCGCAACATCCCTAACAAAGCTATAGTGAGGCAGTAGACTCTTCTAAACAATGACAAAATGAGAATCCTTTAGACTTTTTTTTACGTTTATTAGAATAATCTTAACTAAACTGTAGAATATAGAATAAACTGTAAAGTAAATTGACTTTAACGCCTCTAAATGTGCTTTTTTTTAAAAAAACAATAATTCTCTGTATATTTACATTAATTGATAGACTTTACCATGTTCAAAAACATTTGATTGAAACTCCTTTTCTATTTTAATTTAACCCATTCAAATTTACAGAGACTTTAAAAAAAATCTATCAGCAAATTATTTCATGATATATAAAAAAATATTATTTTTATATTACCGTGGATACATTCCTTCTATGTACTTCCTGTATCCTGGTTTATTTGGCCAGCCATACATCCACTGGATAGTACCAGCAAGACTGTAGAAAATACCCATAGACACCATTCCAGCTGTAATCAGTGCTGGATACATAGCTGCCAACCTGAAACAGAAATAAAAGTCAAAGTTAAGTATTCGCATTGTCAATCCAAGCACACTTTAGTTCAAACATGCAAGGAATATGCATCAAGTCAGAGTAAGCCCAATTGAAATTGCTGAATGACTGAAGTTTCAAGAGTGAACTCATCTTTTGTGATCATGTCTCAAGGAAAATCAATCTGAAGGATTTCTCCATGTTATTATGCAAGGTAGTTAAAAAATAAAACATAGGCTTTCCGTATAATGTGTATATAATTTATATTTAAATAACTGATTTGAGGAAAATAATGTGTTCCACACTATTTAATTAGACGCAATATATTGTATGTTCAATAATGGTAACATCTGAATTATGGTTGCATGTATAATAAAGTACAAATATTTACATTTCATATACTTATTTAAAGACTAATGTTTTTTGTTTTCTTTTACAGAATAGTTACATGGATATTATGTAATGTCCCTTTTGCAAAAAAAAACCTTTGTTTTTTCAGGCAATGTTGCTGTTAAATCTGTTTTATTTTTTGAGGAAACAATTGAAACAGGATAACATCAACACAGCCAGGTATTGAGTTGTACAATATCTTAATGATCGGTTTTCCAGAATGGAAAAATAGGATTGATTGAGCAACAGTAACATTTATAAAAATTACATTTACTGTCAATGTTTTAATATATCCACTAAACTAAGTTGTTAATAAAACTGACTGAAATAATGGCTACTTTTTACCTGAAGCAACACCAATAAAGATTTTGGAAACATTATTTCTATGTCTGCTTAATTAAAATAGTTACAAATAATAAAATGTTAACAGCCCCTCCCCCTAAATGATCAAGAATGTTTCAAAAAGTGGTATCCTCAGCCCAACACATAAATGGGAGAGGTGTGTCTTTTTTTTTACTGGTTGTTATAAATGCACTTGTGAGTTATGCAAGTTGGGTAAACATATGTTTACTGGAGGAATTACAGGGGCCATTATTGTGAATTCAACAAGCACCAAAAAGGATTCCACCTGATTCTCTAATTCTTTTCTGAGGTATATAATTAAGGGCAGCCATAATTCCCTTTGCATGCGTATGTTTACCCAACTCACTTAACACACACATCCGTCCACGGCATCAAGTACTGTGCTGACATTTACTTTTTATTGTGGAGGAATTAAAAAAGAATTGATCTTAGTTTTACTAAGCCACAGTATTTCTTTCCACGTTGATTCCTTTCCTGGCTCTTGGTCTACACTGTGTCTCTGGTCTCAAGAGTTTCTGGAGCAGTGATGTATATCATTCTGCCTATCATTGCATGGCAGGATCAAGCACATTTCAGCAACAATATTTTATGTATTTAAGGTAGATCGCCATCTTACTCCTTTCCTCTGAAGCTATTGAATTATCTTACAGGACAGGACTCTTATCTTCCGTGACATATTTCAATCTATGTATCCATCAAGTCTAAGGGACGCAATAATAACATCAACGTGATGCTATATTTTCGCTATTCTTTTCAACCATAGTATGGGGATCATGAACATGGGTTTCCTTCATTCAAATGTCAGAAAAAAAGGCAAGAACAGACAGAACAACAGATAAAACCCACTAATATAAAAACATGATATAAAATCAATCAAGGTGACTTTAAAAATAATGAAAACTAATGAAAAAAACGGCGATGTTAACATCTACCACCCTTAATTCCAATGGAACAAGTCTACACAGGCCTTCCAAACAACACCAAATGTCTGCCATCATATCAACCACAATACAACATGGAAATTGCACTGCACAAAGAATAATATGGACACATTTGCCCCACAGTATTACAAGTACTACAAATCCAGGTTCAGCTTTAAGCCGATGTTCTTTCACATCTTGAATATCCTCACGGCTAAACCACACACAAATACCGCCATAGCACAAACATCCCACCTCTCTATATTGCAGTCCATCTGACAGGTCCGCACCTGTCATCTAAACAGTAAATAAAAAGTAAATAATAAATAAAACGTTATGTATCATAACCCTCAATTGAATTCCGCACAAACACCTATTCAGTTTTGCTGACTTTGCTCACGCAATCTGCCTCTCGTGTGACGCAACCCGCCTACAATGCAGTCGATAACAATACTAATCTTCGCATTCGACACAACGGCTTATCGCGTCTTCGAGAGAGAGAGAGAGAGAACGTCTTAAAGCGCTTGGCCGAATATTCCGTGAGGCGAATCGACTGTATATTGCGTGGGCGAACCCACAATTTCTTGACCTTTCGAACCGAAATCACACAAAAAAAAAGCCTCCGGGCAGAAACAGAAAACAACCGCACATTCAAACAACCGGATCCCAGTGCAAACACCTTGGGTTGTGCTCAGTGGTAAACCAGTGTGTGTGTGGTGGGGGGGTACCCTGGTTTTAAACCTAACACCATCCCTGAACCACTGAACAGCTTCCACCCACACACACACCCCCCCCACACACACACACCCCCACACACACACCCCCACCCCACACACACCCCACACACACACTCCACACACACCTCCCCCCCCACACCCCCCCACACACACACACCACACACACCTCCCCCACACACACACACACCCACACACCCCCACACCCCACACACACACACCCCCCACACACACACACCCCCCACACACACACACCACACACACCTCCCCCACACACCTCCCCCCCCCACACACACCACACACACACCCCCCACACACCTCCCCCACACACACACCTCCCACACACACACCTCCCCCCACACACACACCTCCCCCCCCACATACACACCTCCCCCCACACACACACACCCCACACACACCCGCACACACACCTCCCCCCCCCCACACACCTCCCCCCCACACACCTCCCCCCCACACACACCACACACACACCTCCCCCACACACACACCCACACACCTCCCCCCCACACACACACCCACACACACACCTCCCCACACACACCCCCCCCACACACACACACACACCACACACACACCTCCCCCCCACACACACACACACCACACACACACCTCCCCCACACACACCTCCCCCCCCACACACACACCACACACACACCTCCCCCCCACACACAACACACATGTACACCACCCCCACACACACACCTCCCCCACACACACACACACACCCCCCACACACACCACACACACACCTCCCCACACACACACCTCCCCCCACACACCCACCTCCCCCACACACACCCCTCCCCACACACACCCACCTCCCCCCCCCCCCACACACACCACACACACACCTCCCCCCACACACACACACCTCCCCCACACACACACACCCCTCCCCAACACACACACACCTCCCCCCCCCACACACACCACACACACACCTCCCCCCAACACACACACACACACACACACCACACACACACCTCCCCCCACACACACACACACACCTCCCCCACACACACACACACACCTCCCCACACACACACACCTCCCCCCAACACACACACCTCTCCCCCACACACACACACCTCCCCCCAACACACACACACACACCTCCCCCCAACACACACACCTCCCCCCCACACACACCTCCCCCCCCCACACACACACCCTACCACACACACACACACACACACCCCCCCCACACACACACACACACCTCCCCCCACACACACACACACACCTCCCCCCACACACACACCTCCCCCACACACACACACCTCCCCCCACACACACACCTCCCCCCAACACACACACACCTCTCCCCCACACACACACACCTCTCCACAACACACACACACCTCCCCCCAACACACACACACCTCCCCCCAACACACACACCCCCCCCCCACACACACACCTCCCCCCACACACACACCTCCCCCCACACACACACACCTCCCCCCCACACACACACCTCCCCCCAACACACACACTCCCCCCACACACACACACTCCCCCACACACACCTCCCCCCCACACACACACCTCCCCCCACACACACACACTCCCCCCCCACACACACACCTCCCCACACACACACCCCCCCCCCCACACACACACCTCCCCCACACACACCTCCCCCTCACACACACCCCCCCCACACCACACCCCCCCCACACACACACCCCCCCACACACACACCCCCCCCACACACACACCTCCCCCACACACACACCCCCCACACACACACCACACACACACACACCCCCCACACACACACCCCCCACACACACCCCCCCCCCACACACACACCTCCCCCACACACACACCTCCCCCACACACACACCCCCCCCACACACACACCCCCCCCACACACACACCCCCCCCACACACACACCTCCCCCCACACACACACCTCCCCCCACACACACATCCACACACACCTCCCCCCACACACACACACCTCCCCCCACACACACACCACACACACCCCCCCCACACACACACCCCCCCCACACACACACCTCCCCACACACACACACCTCCCCCCAACACACACACACACACACACACACACACACACCTCCCCCCCACACACACACCTCCCCCCAACACACACACCTCCCCCCAACACACACACCTCCCCCCACACACACACACCACACACACACACCACACACACCCCCCCACACACACCACACACACACACCACACACACCTCCCCCCCACACACACCTCCCCCCACACACACACACTCCCCCCCACACACACACACACCTCCCCCCACACACACCTCCCCCCCCACACACACACACCTCCCCCCCCCCACACACACCACACACACACAGACCTCCCCCCCCCCCCCCACACACACACCCCCCACCCCCCCCCCACACAGCCCCCCCCCCACCCCCCCCCCCACACTCCCGGCCATGGCTCCGGCGGTTTTGCTGTGCGGTCGAAATTCGGTGCGCGAAAAAAAAAATCAACTAAACCAATCAATCAATCAATCAATCCATAAATCATAAGAAAAACGATTAAAACTAAAAGGAATAAAAAGAAACGCAAACGACTGCCGAGCGGCGAATGCAGCGGATTGACAGCGCCCCCCACCCCACCCCACCCCGGGGGGGGATTAGCGGGAGGGGGGGGACCCGCACCGAGGGCTGCGGCTGAGCCTCTGCAGGACTGCGGCCCGAGTGCGGAATATCAGCGGCTCCCGCACCTGCAGCGGCAGCGGCGGCGGCTCTCCCGCACTTCAGCGGCTGCGGGAACGCAGGACAACAACACCGCAAAGGCAGAGAAGCTGTCACCAGAGGGGGAGGGGGTGCGGGAGGGGGTGCGGGAGTGGGGGGAGGGGGTGCGGGACGGGGGGGGAGGGGGTGCGGGAGGGGGGGGGGAGTGCACACATACCGCACCGCACCGAACAAATCCGCAGCTGGTCCCAGGGGGCGGCTCTCCTCGCGTGTTTTAAGCTGCGGGTGGGGGTGGGGGTTGGGGGTGGGGGGTGTGGGGGGGTATTTAATCCGCTTTATAACTGGGTAATCTAATCCAGGTTACAGCGGACTCAGCAGTCCGCGAGGTATTTGCTTCCAGTACTGTGTCCCTCTTGAGCTCCGCGGTCCCGGCCGACTTCCCTGCGCTGGGAACGGTAACGGTCATAATGCCGATAACGATCCTGGCTTTTGAGGCGGCGCTTTTCGAGTCCCCTTCGCGGCGTCTCCAAGCGCTTCGCGGAATACGCTGTGAAGTCAGTGAGTCGGCTGTGTATCTGCGGGCGGAACGCGGCGGCCGATTGCGGATTGAAAATGACCAATTTTTTTTTATTGCTGTTTGGTTTGGGAGGGATTATTATTAGGCTCCGTGTGGAGTAAGGAAACTTGCCCGAGGTTTCGCCCTCTGCCGGGAATTGAACTCAGGTCTCTCACTTGCAAAGCGAGTGCCCTAACCACTGAGCTACAGGACTCCAGTGTAGGGATAATGCAGCATTGTTTTACGAATGAGACATCAAACTGAGGTCCCATCTTCCGGTGGACATTAAAGATCCTCCAATCTTTCATACAGTCTTTAACACAGTGTGAACAGACAGACAGGACCTTGGTTTAACATCTCATTTGCAGGACGGTAACTGACCCTGGAACACCCCTCCAGCACAGCATTGAAATGTCAGCCTCCATTATGTGAACTCAAAAGTCCCCAATGTCGAACTTGAACCTCCAACCTTCTGATTCATAGACACCCGGATACATTCACACTACAATAAGGAGTAACAGTGAGCTCAAGAGGAGGGTGTGTCAACCTGGACAATCAGATCAGAGCCCCAATATGGGCCTTAAATGCACAACCTCTGACCTAGAGTTGCGAATGCTACCAACTTTGCATAGATTTTTGTTAGATAAGGATATCAAGGGATATGGGGCAAGAACGGGCTATTGGAGTTGAGGTACTGATCAGCCATGATCTTATAAAACGGTGGAACAGGCTTGAGTGGCTGAATGGCCTAATCCTGTTCCTGTTTCCTATGTTCAACTGAGCCAGGTTACAGTTTCACTCACAGTTTCATGCTCTCATCCTTCCCTCCTTCCTACAATCTTACAGACTTTTACAATCCAAGGTGGATTTCACCTAATCTTGACTAACCTATTTCCCTACTCTTTTCAACCTGGTGTTACATTACACAATAAGCTTTAGCCCATTCCATGAATTCTAAATAGTATACAAAAAAATCAAGCTACTTCTACACCTCAATGAAAGCTGCCAAGCAAAAGATTAAAAAAAACCTCATCTTGTTCCTTTAGTATGCCATGATTCCCTTGTTTCTGACACCTTGATGGACCCTTTCCTTTTCCCAATGGCTGAGGCATTTTATAATGCATTCATTTGGTCAAAGATATAGAACCATTTCACGCCAAGCATCCTATCTGTTCTGCTGCGTGGACTAGCTCCTGATCCATAGTCGCCAACTGATTAACCACATCTGATCCTTCAGATATTCCTGACAGATGATTTTTTCATCCAGTATTTCTGATACTGTGTTTCAGCTTTAGCTACTTTGTCTCCAGCATTTATCCCCAATGGGTATGGCCATAATGTACTACCGACAGATTTGTCTGAGTGCTCAAATCTATTATTATTTGACCAGGCTATTTCCTACTCAGTATTCTTTGTATGGTGC